TTGCTGTTGTATGCCAGTCCATCTGACAAACCTTCATGGCTGTCAGCAACCTGCCTATGGTTGCCTCTGTCTGGTATCTGTCTATCCAACACCGAAGGAGAGCACTCATTCTTGTCCCGAAGGTAGGATGACAAAGTTCACATTGCGCTATGGTTGGGGGTGACAATCCGAGCTCCAGGCACATGTTGAAGTACATTTTGTCGATGTTTTCTACGATTTTCCTTATTTCATCCTCAGATGGGACTCTATTCCAAACCTCCAATGGCACCATACCTGAAAGAACTTTGTTATAAATTGCTGAATTCAGCAGACTTTCAAAATCAATCTTGGAATTGGGTCTAGTTGAGCACATGGAAATAGAAAAGATGGAAAAGACACTCATTTATTTAAACTGCACGTACTTAACTACAGGTATCACCAAACATCCAGACAAGGAGAAAAGTCAGTCTATTGAGTTTATGTTTTGTATTGCTAGGTATATTAGCCTCCATTCTACATTTAAATGGCCAAGGTAAAGTTGAAATTAACACATGAACCTCTATTACATCATCTCTATATAGCTGTTTTGAAACATTAAGTATTTGGCATATGTGTTATTATCCTCTTACCTTGAACCTGGGATTCCTCGTCTGTTCCTAGTACGTCGTTGATACGGTCAGTCGCCATATTAACCGCCTCCATAGCTTGCTGGATGTCATGGATCGTCTTATTCGGATAGGCAATTGTCCATTTAAGAAACAGCTTGGTAATGCGTGTGATCCTTGGCAAGTTGTAGGACTCACATTCTGTGTCCTCAATATCTAGCATAGAAAGCCCAAGCTCCAAAAAGAACGCCTCAATGCGGGACGGGTTGATTAGACGGGACAGACGACTAAGTTCTCGAGGAGACGGCCTTCTGTCAGAGGTATTCGGTTCAACCCCCATTGTTCCTTAATAATCAATATTGTGAGTTATTACTTATAAGATTCATTTGAATATGTAAACAGGTATAACAAACATAAGATAATGCCATTACTATTATTGTTGTGTTATACTTTCAGTTAAGTTAATCATTTTCTTACATTGTATATTGTACATGTATCAACATTTTTGAAAATGTCACGTATTTGCTTTTCATATTGTGGATTATCTACTAGGAAACATGTAGAATGCCGTCATGGTAAGGACAATGCATATTTCGCCCAAAAACTTCGTAAACAGTTACTAGCTTTCAGTGCATAGAGGACAAAAGAAAGCAGGTTGGAAATATTTTACCTCATGTTGGCTCAAATCGTGCGACACGTTTACAATAAAGCACAGTTGCTAATTTCCTTTTATATTTATCGCTTTTCTGTAGTTTCAGTTCCTGCAAATAGCTTAATATATTTGTGTCCTTTTTCTTTACTTGTGTATTGTAACGTATTCTATTTAGTGTTTTTTTAGCATATTCTTGGTTAGGTATTACGGTTCATGTGCAGTAGTATTAAAGTGGTAATAAACAATATTTGCAGCATTATGATTATGGGTCCATTACGGTGAACACACTGAATAATGTCTACCTACGTCCCCAAACATGTATAAAGATCACAAGTATGATCACTTATTTACACTGAAAAGACTTCAAAAAGTCGCCCCACGCCCCTTCGCACACACACCTTTAGTGTCTACCACACATGTATAAAGCTCATAAGTATGATCACCTGGTAAGATGCGCCCGACTAAGGTTGCTATTACTCTCCCTACACGTTTTGACTTTGTTAAACATATATTCATTTCTTGAATGTAAAGCGGTATGAAAACTTTCGTTAAGATTATCAAGATGCTATACAAATGTTTTTTTCGGAGATGAGACCATAATTGCATGCCAACTAAATGTCCCACAAGGTGTTTGCTGTGTTAATTGAAAATATTCATTCACCTCACTACCCAAAACGGATAACTCTTCACAAAAATATCTTAAATCTTTAAACTTGTCCACAGTTCACGATTTATAGAAATATT